CCTTGGAAGTGGGAAGACCCATCCAGCTGCTGGATCACAGCGATCCCACAGCCAGAGGCACCTGGAATGTGTCGATGGGAAAAGGGGAGCAAAGGTGCTGAGCTACAGGTAGGTGAGAGACTCGTGAAACAGAGCAAAAATCAAGTGCAAATCTGGTTTAAGATATGGGATATGGCCTGTGGGCATTCCCCAGCCCCACCCCAGCGCCCCTAAAAAGGGGGTTTGTGGCACCTCCTAAAAAAAGCCTCCCTTTGGTTTGGGAAGGTTTGGACAAGCTCTCCTCAAACACAGCATGACGAGGGCCAGGCAGTGCAGCAGCAACTCTGAGCTCACAGCCAGTCCTGGCCCAATCTTCCACCCATCCCTCTCCCTCCCAGCTGCCAGAATTCCCTCTGGGATAGCAGGACAGACCCACCCTGGCTGGGAGAGCCGTGGTGAGACCACAACGTGGTCCCAGGAGATGAAGCAAACCAGGAGGAGATCCGGACCTGAGCGGGTTGAAGATGTCCCTGCTCACCGCTCTAGAGGGCCCTTAAAACATCCCTTCCAAACCAAAACCAAACCAAAACCAAACCAAAACCAAACCAAACCACCCTGTGCTTCCAGGACCTTCCAACACGAGTCGGTGTCCCCCTCCTCGTCTCCTTCCCGCAGCACCAAACCATCCCCATCCAACCCAGCTGCTCCACGGGGACATCCTGTCCCTGTCCCACTGGGCTGGGAGCCACCTGAAGCCTCAGGGCGTGTTGGCTCCGAATCCAACTGGAGACACGGAGAGACAAAGGAACCTTGTCCCACAGCGCTGAATCATTCCCTTCTATCCCGCCCCGGCAGGGATTTGGGGAGTGTTTGCCTCCCCTCAAGTAGGAAATGAGCCACGCTCCTGTTTTTAGGGGCAGAACCGTCGGGATTTTGCTCAGCTCCCAGCTTCCCAACCCACCTCGTGCCTTCCACAGGGATGGATCTTTTCCTAATCCAAAGCGGTAAAATTTGGAGGGAGAAACCCCCGGCACAGGGAGCGTCATCCCATTCCCAAAGCTCCACCAGCCGCAACCTTCCCCCCCCCCCCGAATCCTCCCCCAGGGCACCGAGCCAAACCCTTGGGAACAGCATCTCCCAGCAGCCCAAATTCCACCTGAGCAGCCCAAATTCCGCCTTACCACGGGCTGAGCCGCCAGCCGGGACACAAATCCATGGGAATGCGGGGAGCGCTGCCCGCTCCGGCTCCTCGGCCGCTTTATTTACTCACTCCTTGGAAAGGGAGGGGAAAGAAAACTCGAGGAAGTGCCGTTCCTCTCCCAAGGTGCACCGCAGAACATTCCTGGTGCCCATGGAAACCTCCTGGCACCATGCCACGGCTTGGCCGCCCTCCAAATTTCGGGCAACCCCTGGACGGCTCCTAAAGGGATTTAAAGGGATGAGGCTGCTGCTCCCTGTCGGCAAAAAATAGTCGGGATGGTCCCGAATTTGCCTTCGGCTCCGGAGGGAAAGTCGTCGGTGCTTGTGCCGAACCGGGCGGCGAGTTGTGATCCAAACGAATTCGGCTCCCACGCTTCTCCAGAGGGAGAATTCCCGGCCACAGACGGCGGGGACAACGGGAAAGCTCCAAACACCTGAAGGGAAGCTGCAGAGATGAAGGGGAAAAATAGTTCACTGGGATTTAAACTTCGGCCAGAGGGATTTAAGAGGGTCCATTCCTTTCTTCTTCTTTTTTTTTTTTTTTTTTTTTTCCCTTTCCTGGCTCCCAGATCTTCTTACCTGTCCTGGGGTTTCCAACTGCATCCCAAAGGATTTAAGAAGCTCCATTCTTCCTTTTTCCTGTTTTTTTTCCTTTCTCCTGGCTCCCAGCTCTCCTTCCTTGCCCTGGGGTTTCAAACTGCATCCTGAAGGATTTAGGAAGCTCCATTCTTCCTTTTTTCCTGGCTTTTTCCTTTCTCCTGGCTCCCAGCTTTTCCTCCTTGCCCTGGGGTTTCAAACTGCATCCTGAAGGATTTAGGAAGCTCCATTCTTCCTTTCTCCTGGTTTTTCCCTTCTCCTGGCTCCCAGCTCTACTCCCTGCCCTGGGGTTCCCTCCTCTTTGCTCCTGGTTGGGCTGAGGAGCGATGGGGTCTCCCTGGAAATCTCCACTTGACATCCTCCCATTCCCAGTTTTTATTGCTGGGATGCTTTGTAGGGTTAGGAAAGGATGGATCCAAGTTTTAAGACCCAGGATAGTTTGGGGAGCCGGGAATTCAGCAAAATCCCATCATGTAAAACGGGAATGTGGCTCCTTTCCTACTTGGATGGAGACAAATATTCCCGTGGGTTGGGGCTTCACTGCTCTGGGGGAAGAGTGAGGAGAGCAGGGAAAGCCTGGAAGGGATTATTGGAAGGCACTGGAGCTCTGGGAGTGGGTGGACAAGGATGATCCCCACTCAGCAGGGAAGGGGACCCTCCATCTACCCTCAGATCCCTCATTCCCACTCAGGCACAAGGTCCTTTCTCCCTGCCCCTGTGTCCATGCCCACAGCTCCAGGGGACTCCAGAGCACATGGAAGGAGGGGAAGCAGCAAATTCCCTCTCCAGGGGCCTCCTCACAAAAGAGATCTCCATTAAAAATCTCTCTTTAGAAATCCCAGCACCAATAAACCCGGAATAAAGGCAGGAGAGACTCCCTTTCCTCCTCCCTTCTCGTGTTTCCAGGCATTTCCAGGGGGCTCCAGACCTTCTCCCATCATTCCAAACACGGGCAAACCAAGAAGCCCCGGGATGGGGGGGAAACAAATGAGGCAGGAAAAAGCCACATCCTCTCTGGAAGGTACAAAATGAAATGAAATGAAACGAAGGTGCAAAGTGCTGAAAGTCGGCAGGTTTTTCCCCCCCTCCCAAAAATTCCACTGCACTGACCCACCTGGAGAATAAGGAATGTGGAGGGTGGAAATCAAGAAGGATCAGGTTGGTTTGGGCTATTTTCGCTCAGCTCTTGCCCCCAGGCAGTGGTTTGGTGCCACTGGCAGGTCCAGCTCGTGAGCCCGTGGAGAGGAAGGAACTCCCCAGGAGCTGCAGGAAATCACAGTTTGGCTCCAAACCAAAACAAAACGCCCAAACCACTCTCAGAATCAAAAGGAGGGAGCAGTTTGGAACTCCCAGGCCGTGGGGAAGGCACTAATAATCCCCCTGCAGCCTGGAAACGGCATTCCAGAACTTTTCCTCCACGTGACCCAGAGCACGGCAGGTGCATTCCCATAAAATCCCCTTAAAAAACAAACCAGCACTGGTATTTCCACAACGTTTTCCAGAGGGGAACAATCCCATAAGCAGGGCTGACCTGAATTCCCGTGGATTTATGCCTGGGAAGATTCAGGCACAAACAAAAGCTCCCCATCCTGGCTGGTCCAGCTTCTCTGGATCCTCTCCTGTCCACCAGGAATTGTCCACGTGTTCTCCTTCTTCCCCCCCACGGGATCTGCAACTGGTTTAATTTGTTGACCCAGCACCCAGTTTTTAAGAAATTTAATACACAACGTTTCCTTCATCTCTCCCGGAGTTTTATCCCAACGGAGCTGAATCGAAACATCAAATTTTAGAATTTGGGGAGGGAAAGAGAGGTGGAGGGAGGAGGAGAAAGGCAAGAAAAGGGTATCCAAAAGCCTCATTTCCTTAAGGAATTCAGCTGCAAAGCATTCAAACCAGCCGGGTGAGCCAATCCTTGGGATCTTGGAGCCTCCAGACTGGATTTTCAGCGGGAAGGAAGGACCGAACTGCTCAGCTTGGGAGCAGATGTGGAATTCGCTGTCTCGGTGCTGCCACCGCCTGTTGTTTGCCGATGAGCCCTCACAGCGCACCCCGCCTTCCCTTTCCACTGCTCCCAATTCCTGTACCTGTTTTCCAAGCTGATTCCCACCATCTCGGCTCTCAGCCCCGCTGCGAGTCCTGCAAAGCATCGCTGGCATCATTCCACCCTCCTCTGATCTTCCCGATCCAATCAGAAACGCAAAGCTCAAAGCTGGACGGTCCATTTGAACTTCTAAAATGTTCATTTCCTATGGAGCTTCTTTTTCTCCTGGAATTGTGCTTGGTTCCCTAAAATTGCTGGAGCAGAGTAGCAGAAGGGATTTGATCCTCCTGGATCTCTGGGCTTGTTTTCTTTCCTAAAATCCCAGGTTTCTCCCGGTAAAGAATCCCACAATCCTCTTCCCAGATACCTTCAGAGATCAAGTTTAAACTGAAGGAGAGTGGGATTAGGTGGGATATTGGGAAGGAATTCTTGGCTGGGAGGGGGGTGAAGGACTGGAATGGATTTTTTTTTCCCAGAGAAGCTGTGGCTGCTCCTGGATCCCTGGAAGTGTCCAAGGCCAGGCTGGAACAACCTGGACTAGTGGAAGGTGTCCAGGGGGGTTGGAACTCAGTGATCTTTAAGGTCCTTTCCAACCCAACCCACTCCATGAAGTCTGGGTGAGATTGCAGATTCCAAGATCCTTCAGGAGTGAAAGATGCTTTTAAAATCCCCAGATCCCCACCCCTCATCTGCAGTACCCCTGGGCTGGGGGAGCTCTGATGCTGCTGATGCATCAGCTTGGCTCTCATCCCTCTTTTTTTTTATTAAGGGGAAGAGAATTCCGTCACCAAACCAGGAGCAAGGCAAGGACACCAGAGCTGGAATCACTCAGGCAGCTGTTAAGAAATACATTAAAAAAAAGAGGAAATTCAGGGTTTAATGGTGCATTTCCTTCCTCTGGGTGGGCAGGGAGAGCTCCCAGCTCTCCTTCGCTCCTGCATCCCCCCCCTCTCCAAGGCTGGCCTGAGGAGCAGCCGAGCTCTGTAAGCGACACCGGGCTAATTAATTAATTAACGACTGCCCGGCGTCGGCTCCGCGGCTGCTGGGATAGAGAGGCAGGCAGGAAAACAGGGCTGGGACAGCCCCGAGCTGCGGCTGGGAAATGCTGAGGGCTGCTCCGAGCTGCCTGCCCTGATTCCTGAGCTGCCCGGCAGCCGGAGAAATCCCTGGAAAAAAGGAGAAGATGGCGTGGGATGCTGCCCTGCAGCATCCTCGGTCCTGGCTGGGATTCTTCTCCCTCCTCCTCCTCCTGTCCTGCTCCGGGGCTGTCGTGGCTCAGCTGATCGAGGTAAGGAGCGGCTTTCCCGAGGGTTGGGATGGGCCGGGAATGGGGGTTTTTCCAGGCAGGATGAGTTAAGGTGGCCCCAAGGGGTTGGAGGTTCTTGTTGCTTCCTGCAGGCCCCCCCCCCCCCAAAAAAAAAAAACAAACAACAAAACAACAGGGAAGAAGGAGCTTTTAAAGGGTTGAAGCCACAGCACAGCGGGTCTTTTAGCCCGGTTCCAACAAGTGTCACGTGTCAGGGATCGGGAAAGACCAGGAATGATCCCGGTGATGCCGTCCCTGGATGCACCTGCCCAAGGGAAACGTTTGGGGGCATTTTCCTTTTTTTTATTTCCTCCCCTCATTCCCCCTGGCTCGGCACGAAGATGAACTCTGGAGGTGACGTTCCTGCCCCAGCTCAGTTCCAGAGCTTTTCCCTCAGGATGACTGTGCACTCCCCACGGCCCCAGCTCCCTCTGGAAAGGCTGGGGTGGAGGGAAAAGCAGCTTCACGAGCCCTGCCAGAAGGGAGAATTCCTGCTTGGAAAAACTGCCCTCCAGAATTACTGCCAGCAGTTTTGCAGCCAGGGGTCCAACCACTGCCCAACCCTCCGCTTGTCTCGCTTGTAAAGTGAATTAATTCAAGATTTTCAGACAGATCCCTCTTTAACTGGGCCATAAGATCCCCAGCGAGGCAGGCAGGGACCTAAAACTCCTTTCCAAACTCACAGACCGGGCTGCTGAAAACATAATTCCCACTTTTCCCGAGCTGTTCAGCCTCTCTCAAGGTGACCAGCGAGGCAGAACTTTCTCTGACAGAGCACATTTCCCAAAACGTGCTCCACTGAGCCCGTGCAGACACAGCACCCGCCCACCAGGATGTTTCCCTTTCCTTGCATCCCAGGCACACATTTTACAGGATTGTAAAAAAGCCAAAAGCCAAACGAAGAGAAACGTCAAGATTGTTATAAACCAGGTGGCAGTTCAGGCTCTGCTTTATTAAAGCAGATTTTTTTGATCTGAAGCTCCTGCAAGGCTTTTTTTTTTTTTTTTTTTTAACTTTCAATAATGAGATAATTGGGTTGTCCTGAATAATTCAATTTTGTGCTAAGCCAGCCCAGCAGAGCAAACAGAGAAGGTCAGAGGGGCTGGACATCAAAACATTTCCCTCAGCTAAAAAAAAAAAACCAAACAAACAAACAACCCAAAAAGGAGAAATAAAGAAAGAAGATGCCTTTTTTTTTTTTTTTTTAAATGGTGTTCAAGTGTTTTGCAAATTCATTTCCACCCGGGAGAGAAGGGGCAATAAAAGCCTCTCAAGATTGAATTTAATGGCATTGGCAAAAAGCTTTATTCTCTCAGAGACCTCCTGGGGGAGATCTCAGTCCCCTGGGGTGGAAAGTGAGCTGTGCAAGGGTTAGGAAATTCTCCTGGCACTGGGAGAATTTGGAAATAAAATCATGGGATTCTGGGGTGGTTTGGGATGGGAGGGACCTTAAAGACCCAGTTCTAGCCCAGGGACACCTTTCACTAGCCCAGAGTGCTCCAACCTGGCCTTGGACACTTCCAGGGATCCAGGGGCAGCCACAGCTTCTCTGGGAAACCCATTCCAGCCCCTCCCTGCCAAGAATTCCTTCCCAATATCCCATCCAAACCTACCCCTATCAAGGCCTTTCAAACTCATCCACGTGCTCAGACATTATCAGCAGCTAAATAAACACCTGGAATTTGGGGAAAAGACCCTTTTCCAGCATCACACATTTGGAACTGGGGGAAGAGGAGAAGGAGAAGGAGAAGGAGAAGGAGAAGGAGAAGGAGAAGGAGAAGGAGAAGGAGAAGGAGAAGGAGAAGGAGAAGGAGGCTTTGCCTTTTTCTCTCCCTTTCCCAGGGCTGCTCCCAGAAAACAAGACCCATTCCATGAAATTCCTGGAGCACTGGCACAGCTCCTCAGCTTTCCACCTTGCCAAACATTCCTGCTAGGATAAATGATGCTTTTTTGGGAAGCAGGGAGCTCCCACAGGTAGCAGGTTATAACATCCCTGCTCGCCTCCAACGTGCCCAAGGGATGCTCTGGAAACCTCCCTGGAAGCAGGGAGGGAGGAAAATCCACATTTCCAGCCCCTCTAGAGCCAAAATTTCCTCTTCTAAAGGTCAGTATAACCCTCATCACTTCTTCTGTTCATCCCTCTTTGGGACCAGAGCTGAAAATCAGAGCTGAGAGAATCCCAGGATGGTTTGGGATGATCCTTCGGGTCCCTTCCAACCTCAACCATTCCATGATTCCATCTGCAACCATTCATCCCACTTAAATTCACTCACAATGACCTTTTTTTCCCCCTAAATACACCATCCCATTTTATTGACCTGGGAAGGACACCCAGATCAATTATTTATAAGAATTCCCCCTTTGGACTCGGCGATTCCTGGAGGTCTTTCCAACCTCAGGGATTCTGGGATCATTCCTGCGTTTCCAGCGTTGCATTTGGACTGTGCCAGGGCTTGGGTGCCCTCACCAGGTACATTTTTCCCCGGTGGATGGATGTCCATGGCCAGATTCTCCATCTCCTGCTCAGGAGGAAAAGCAGGGAAAGAACATTTCGGGGTTTATTTAAAGCTCCATCCGTGGCTTTGGGATGTGGAACCAAATGCAATCAGAGATTAATATTGCTTGTTTTTCCAGAGCCCAGCCCTTGCTCAGGGAAACAGCAACACCAATCAAGCCTAATTAGAGGGGAAATTAAAAAAAACAAACTCAAAAAGTGATGCCTTTTACTGTTTTTCTTCTCTGCTGCTCAAATAAAACTCCTGAGTCCAACAACTCCCTCCTTTCCCACTGGGAATGATCCCTCTGCTTCCTCCCCCCCATCCCCACCACCACTGACAGGTCCCACCTGCCTGGAATGAATCAGAAGAGAGCAATAAGGGTATTTTTAATTATTTTGGAGTTAGAAGAACCGGTGTCATACCGTTCTGACCTAAAAAAAAAAAAATGCAACTTGCCCTGGAATGACTGAAAGGTTTGGGATTTAGGAGATGTTTTGCAGCCCTGAGTTTCCAGTGCCAGATCCAGCCACATCCAGGGCAGATCCAGCTCCTTATGGAGTTTTTTTTCACCTCCCAGCCCTTTTTGGGCACTTGGAGAAACAGAAGGATATCAAAATAGTCCACCCTTGGCTCTTACTTTAATTCCCCCATCCCCCAAAACAGCCCTACAGGGTTGGAACCCCAAAATTTGGGGCAGTAACAGCCCCCCAACCCCTGCCAGGGAGCCACTGGATCCCTGGGACGCCCCAAAAATCCTCTTCCCTGCTCCTGATCCCAGAGATCGAGCACAGAGTTGCTCTCCAGGGCAGGATTTATTCGCTCTAAACTGGGACTCCAGAAACTGGACACCCAAAATCTGAGCTTGGCACCGAAGGCTCTGCTCAGAATCCCCTCAAATCATCATTTATTTATGATTTATTACCAGCTCTGGAGAAAGTTTCCTCAGGGAAACCCGGGATGGTTTGGGTTGGCAGGACCTTAAAGCTCATCCCATTCCAACCTTCCCCCAGCCCAGGTTGCTCACCCGCCTTTGGCCTCAACATTTCTCCCTGGAGTCGGTTCCCCTTCCCTAAAACCTGGATCTAACCTAATTTTGGGCTCTGTGCCACGTTCCAGAGAGCTCAGATACTTCCCTGAACATCACCTGGAATATTCCTCAAGCCCTACATCATTTTTATCCCCTCTGCATTTCAGTTCAGGCTCCTGAGCCATCGTTTTTTCTCTTCTATAAACAAAAATAAACCCCAAAATTTTTAGCCCAGAGCCTGCTGGTTATTCCTTTCTGCTCCATTCCAGTTTCCCAACTTTCTCCCATCCCTGTGGGCACTGGTGGCAACGTTGGACTGAGGTTGCTCCCAGGTGTGTTTGCACCTTTTCCTTTGGCATATTCCCATTTTCTTGCCTTCAAAAGCCTTTCCCTGTTGAATGATCTCCTGAGAGCTGCCAGTGCTGCTTCTTCCCTGAATTTTCCGTGTTCCCAACAGTTCCTTCATCTAAGGATGACTCCCTGAAGCCTGAAACCACCTGGAGAAGATTTCCCTCCTTCCTCCTTGCAGCCCTCTGGAATTCTTTTGTTCAGGGCCACTGCTTTGCATGGATAAAACAATGTCCATATTCCACTTCCAGACCACATTCCATCCCCTTTGATGGAATTCTAAGGGGTTTTTCCTTCCATTCTCCACTCCTAGACCACATTCCAACACACTTGATGGAACTCTGGGTGGTTTTTTCCCTCCATCTTCCAGTTCTGGACAACATTCCATCCCCTCTGATTGAACTCTGGGTGGCTTTCCCCTCCATCTTCCACTCTTGGACCACATTCCATCCCCTCTGATGGAATTCTGGGTGTTTTTTCCCTTTTCCTGCATAAGAATTCCCCTGTCCCAGTTTCATTTCCCTTCCTCACACCTTATCCCTTTATCCCAATCCAATCATTCCATTCTCCTGACGTTTATCACCGAGCACAGGTCAGTGACTCCAAACCCTGATATTTATTCCCCAGGCACCAATCAACAGCTCCAAGTCTTGACATTTGTTTCCAAGCACAAACCAGCACTTCCAAGTTCTTGAAGCTCCTAAAATTCCTTCCACTAGGATGGGTTTTTTTCCCCCCCCTCACTGTGTCACCTCTAAAAGCAAAGAGGAGCAGACATGGCAATTCCTTCAGAATTGTCCATAATCTGGTAGCAAGTTCTCCAGTCATTCTCCATCCCACTTCCACAGCGATCCAGAGTCTCAGACTGTCCTACTGCAACCCCACAATTGCTGCAGATCCCATGTCAGCACATCCCTTCCCATCTGGTTTCATTCCCAACCTTTTACCAGTCCAAGAGCTCTCATCATTCCTTCAGACTGGAGAATATTTAAATATCAAAGGAATTCCAACTGCACAGAATGATTAAATTTGGAAAAGACCTCCAAGATCTTCATGACCAAACACCACCATGTCAGCTAAACCAACTAATCCACTTCCAGGGATGGGGACACCCCCACCTCCCCAGGCAGCCCATTCCAGTTCCTGTCTTCCCTTTCCCAGTTGTCCATCAGAGACCAGTCTGGAAGGAAAGGCCCATCCATCCCTTGGACAGCTGAGCTCCCCAAAACTCACCAAAAATAAATAAAAGTGAGGTGTCTCCCGTGGGTCAGATTGAGGCTTGCCTGGAGGGCAACCCCTCCTGGGATCAGGAGTGAGGAAAGCTGATCCAAGGCAGGAGGGAAATTTAGATCTCTGGGGTCAAAGCATTAACTGGGCAGAATTTTCTGACCCTGAAACTGTGCCCTGATCCCTCCCCCCAGGGCTTTGTCCACCGCAGCTTCTCCAATTCCAACTCTTTGCTGCTGAACAAGTCAAAAAGAAATCCTCCAGGTTAAAAGGGAGAACTTTTGGTGCCAGATCCCACAAACTCCTCCCTCTTTGGCCGTCCCAGGTGCCTCTCCAAGATCTCCCCGCTCTGACCACCCTTCCTTTTCTCCCTTAGGAGCAATTCTGCCTTTTTAATCCGGTCCCTGCGCAGCGGGGAAAAAGGGAGATGCCCCAAATTCCAGTGCCGGTTGAATTCCAAGCAGCCGGGAGAGCTGGGGAGGGGCAGGCTGAGCCATTCCCCGGGCACACAGATGGATTGTGAGCAGGATCCCCCGGGAGACAAAGCACTCCAGACGCTGCAGGAATCATCCTGCGCTGGGAAGAGACTGAAATATGGTTTGTGCTGCACGGAGGGAAGTAATTGGAGAGCAGCTCCAGCTCGGATTCACTCCGGGATATCCATTTACAGCCGGGCTGAAGAGCGCTTGGATGGGTTGGGACAGGAAGGGCACAGCGGGGAATCGCATGTTGAGGAGGGTTGGGGTTTTTTTTTAGAAATAAAGTGTTTTCAGCTTTTATCAACTTTTCACGAGGCCCTGGATCGACAGGACACGGGGAGTGGCTCCCCACTGCCAAAGAACAGGGTTAGGTGGGAGATTGGGAAGGAATTCCTGGCTGGGAGGGGCTGGAATGGATTTGCCAGAGAAGCTGTGGCTGCCCCTGGATCCCTGGAAGTGTCCAAGGCCAGGTTGGAGCATCCTGGGACAGTGGAAGGTGTCCCTGCCCATGGCAGGGGTGGCACTGGGTCATCCTTAAGGTCCCTCCCAACCCAAAACATTCTGGAATTCTGTGATTGGAAAAAAAAAATATGTAAAAAAATAGTAACAAATATATAGGAAAAAATATGTAAAAATATAGGAAACGTATAAAATTTAGAAAAATATGAAGTATGTAGAGAAATATAAGAATTAAACAGAAAAAATATCAGAAATATGTAAGAGAAATAGGTAAAAATATAATATATAAGAAAATATGTAAAAATATAATATATAAGAAAAATATGTAAAAATATAATATATAAGAAAAAATGTGTAAAAATATATAAGAAAAGATTGGAAAGATGATAGGAAAATATAGGAAAAATATGTAAAACGTAAGGAAAAGCATGTAAGAAAAACATAAGGGAAAAATATAAGGAAAAAGTTAGAAAAAAAAGAAAAATAAGAATAATATAAGAAAAATAAGAAAAAATAAGAAAAAATAAAAAGAAGAAAAAAATAAGAAAAATAAGAAAAAA